CCCCTGGCGGCGGGCGGGAAGGGAACGGGCGGCCCGGGAGCTCCCCCGCGCGGGGAACCGGCGGCGGCGAGGAGGGGCGTCCTCGGGCACGGTGCGGCGCACCGGAGGACGGGCGCGGTGGTATTTCTGCTGTCCAAGGTGTTGGCGATAAGGGCCGGTGTTTTCCCGGCTTGAGCCCTGTACCTGTCTCTCCGACGTCCGCAGTGGTGGCTGCTGCCATTTAAATACTTTACCTGGCGGGTTCTTTGCTGTCTCGTGTATCCTTTCAGCTGTCTTTCCTTTCGTTACGCAAAACAAGACTTTACTATGTCTTCAGATCTCTTGGAGGTGGAGATTTCTTTCAGTGTATGGGCTGTTTACTTTGCTGGTGATACCAGTAGGCATCGCCCATTTTCCGTCATGGTTTTGTTTTTTGAGGGAGTAATAAATGCCATAAACCTGTTAGCTGCCTGCGTCTGTTTTTTATTGTGACACACACAGGAAAATCAGCTGTAAATTGTGCACTAACTTAGTCTGATAAAACTTTCTATTTTAGTTTCCTTATCCAGTGTAATTTGCACTTTGTTCTCTAGGATATAAGCTCTTTGAGGAAATTGCTTGGTTTGTGCTATGTCTGGATGGTGTTTAATGTAATGGTTTCCTACTGCGATGAAAGCTTTGAGTTATCAATGTCAGCAGGAATAGCTGTCACAAATGACTACCTCCTCCTTGCACAGTTCTACTTCAGTGTTCAAAATGGCATATTCTTATTCTGTTAGAGGTACTGAATCTGTACTACTGCTTCAGGTGCTGCTACTCAGCAGTAACTTGGCTATGGAGCGTTAGCATATCCCTTGATCTGGTCAGAGCCCCGAAAGTTCAGAAAACTTTCATTTTCTGTTCAGAAGAAACAAAGTAACTGAATGGAATAAAGAAATCATTACACTTTATGCAGTGTAACATTCTGAGAAGTTAGACAATGGGATGGGTTCATGGCCTTCTAAGAACCAACATCCTCCTTAATGGAGCATCATTATAGGGTTCATATCTCCTGTGAGTAATTAGAAGCATTACGTGATTTCCTCCCAAGAGTTGTCCTAATGCATCCCGTCTCAACTGTACCTAGCGGATGAATTGCAAGAATACTTCATATTTTTAGTATTCAGGGTAAATATGTTGATGATTAACCCATCTTTTTCCTTAGCTTTTGCAATTAATTGATGGGCTGAGGTTAACACTAATTTGCAACTTGTTACAGTCAAGGGCGTCTTTCTTTTCATGGCTTTGTTACATATGCTGCACACTCCAGTGACTTCTGTTTCTGTGCATCCTCACAGCGTTCAGTAGTTCACAGAGCTTTTGGCATATTTGCAGTCTTACACAGAAATAGGTCCTCATCACCAGATATGACAAATCTTGGGTACAAACAGCTTCAGGGTTTTCTTATCTCAAAAAACGTATTGACGTTGTGGAGTCAGTACTTTAATGCCATTAGGCAGTCTGCTCAGACATGCAACATAGCATTAGAAAAGTCTGGCGCAGCAAAGCAGAACTTGGTGTGTTTGGATTTTGTGCCTGTGAAAGTAAAATTTTCAAGTATAGTTTCTCACCATGTCAACATCATAATCCTTATCACCAGTCCTGGTGGCTGTTCTGGAGTGTTAAGGATAATAGTGGATGCTCTTAAACTTGTGCAACAAGTTCCTCAAATATTCATTCTTTTAGAGAAAGGCCTTCTCCAATAATGTCTGCAAGTTCAGTCAGAGATGCTTCTGTCACAGCTAATTTCAGTGTGGTGACTCTTCACACCTTGGAGCTTTTGTTATCTTACATATGGGACATCTCACTCTGAAAGCATGCTGAGACAGGTGGTTTGACATGACCAGTAAGTGCTGGTACAGTGAAAACTGGACAGGCTGAAGTCTAGGAGTTTGATGTCTCTGTCTCCCACACCAACAGTGTACAGGTTCTTGTTAGGCTTCTTGGAAGAGCATTCTGGCATCTCGGTGCCTCTGGGAGTTTTACGCATTGTTTATGTTTCTCTGGGTGTTGTACTCCAGAGTGCCAAATTTCTGGCATCTTGAAAATTGCAACTAACTACTTTCAGGAAAAAGGTGATGAATGGGTTCACCTGATTGGGACAGACTTTCCCCACTTCATGGTGCTGAAGTCAGTGTCAGGGAAGTGATGAAAGCTCAGGAAGAAAGATTCTTTTGATAAGCAAGTTTTGAATTGTTCAGACTAAGATGAAATGGAATGTTGTATTTGCTTTTCCAATTAAAGCTACTAGACACCATCTGAGTGTGTGATCAGGCAAATGCTGCATATCTAGTAGCGTTGTTTCCACGGGTATCCTGTCTGGTGGCTCAACCTCAGTACAGGGTCATCTTTAAATCGACTTTCATTGGCAGTTTGTTGTGCGACTGAATGATTCTACTGTAGCAGCGAAGGTGCACATACATTTTCCAGTCTGCCAACAGGCCAGAGAGGGTGGTAATGTCTGACAGGGGCATGAGAAGTATTAAGCTGTTGGAAGTATTTCTGCTATGAATATCTTCCTGTGGCATAAGAGAATTCTTTTGGATATAACTGGATATGTAGGAGTCAAAGGAGAATGTAAATCTTGAAAAAAATAATGAAATTAAACCCAATTGCAATATGTGATGATTCTGAGTTGAAAATACTTGAATGCCTGAAGGCATGGTCTTAGGCTGCTACTTCTGAGATTTATGTTTTTTTCATAATGCAGAGAGAAGGTGAGTATTTTCCTGTTTGTGTAGCAAAATAACTGAGTCTTGAGACAAGAGATTCAGCCACTGAGAGGTCGATTTAGGAGCTGATTCATGTCCTGTCTGTTGTCATATAAAATATTCCTCTGTTATTATTAAAATATTCTTTATTAATTTTTGAAACTTTTTTTTGAAGCAAATATTTGTTGTCACCTTATGAGTATTTTTTTACTGTCCCCTAACAAGTTAATGCATGGCAGTGTGGTTGGATGTGGCTTTATGTACTGATAAATTAACCTTTCCTTCTGAATGTGTGTGTGTGAGTTTTTTAAAAAAAAACAAACAAAAAAACAAACCAAACTTTATAAGAGAAGCTGGAATGTATATAGTCTTCATTCTTATTCCTTGCAGTGATCAATCCTAAAGCAGAAACCTCTTAATTAAAAAAGATCTGTTAGCTTGACTATTCCATTTGAGCGCTGTCGAGCGTATGTGGAGCAGTCATGTAATTTCAGTCCCCAGAACCATGAAGTTTTAAGGTGAATAAGTGAATTAAATATGGAGTTTTACCTCTTCTTGGAAGTACACCTTCCTGTTGTCTTTTGTTAGGTATATGCCCCACTGCTTGTCCTGATGTTCAGAGTATAATTGGAAAATATTTACCTGCAATGAGCAGAATGGAGCTAAACTTTGTTGGCAGTTAATCCTAGATCCCTCGCTCATGTGGTCCAGGTACACAGTGAAGCTGGAGCGCTTCAGTTTGTTGCTAAGCTGGCAGGAATCCTTCCAGGCACTTAGAGAGGTCACACTCCTTTTAAAGCGGAAAGGTATCTGTGCTGAAAACTGCACCAAAGTTTTGCTGAGTGAAGGGTTTGTGAGAGGCTTTGAGGTGAAGTATCAGTCTGAAGAGAGCTAGTGGTACTAAAATTAGTGTTTCTTCTTAAATAGAAGTTGAACACATTTGTAAGTGCTTCTTTAATTCTTTTGAAACTTTCATCATTGTTGTGACCTTGTTTGAAGAAATATATAGGAAGTATAGATCTGTAATCTGTATAGAAAGTAACTATCTGTAATTTAAGTAAATACTCACAATTCAGACATTGCAATAGAACAAAGTATTTTGCTTTTAATCTTTTGTCACATCCTTTGTTGAGTTTCCCATTGTATTCTAACAATCTAACAACTATTTAACTATTTACATACTATTTTGCCAGTCCACCGAGATAAATTCCAGTGTATCAATAAGCTAAGAGGCAAAAAAGGAAGTTCTTTAAGAGTGAGTATGGAAAAGAAGCATAGCTGTGGTGGAAACTCAAGAAATAAGTGTAATTTTTTTTTGGTGAATATTTGCTTGCCAATGCCTATTAAATAATTTAATGAAATTATTTATGATCAATGAAAAAATGTTAGCAACTTCTGCTGTTTGTATCACCAGAGGGTAACTCTTAAATCTATTTAAGAGGTATCTAGATAATTTACTATGATACTGTTCTGATAAATTTGCTCAATAAAAGTACCTCCATTTTTAATGATGGAATCAGTCCATCTTGCCATAATTATATTTTTGTATTATAAAATCTATATTCATTTACTCACTTTTCAAGATTCTGTATAATCAGAAACTGAAAATAGATATGTTTTAAACATGCCGTGCATACACAAAACAAGCAAGTTTTGCCTTGCTTTTTAAGGAAACTGTTGGAGGTACTGTAAGGTATGTATAAGATGCAACAGTACTGTGAGTTTTTTCCAAAACTGTCATATTGTATTTCAGGCTTTGCTGAAACGCTTGTGTATAGTGACTTTGTTACTGACATTTCAGTGGGAAGAAGGATGCAGTTTGCATACCTTTGTGTACTTAAGCACTACCTTATTATGTGTTGACTGATTTGGAAAGCTGTGTGGTTTTTAAGTTCCTGCTCAAATTTGAGTGCTGGCAATACAGTCGGATGCAGAGCATATGCATTCCTTTGGCATTAGTTATCCAGGTGCAGCTTCTTAATGTGACCAAGTACTTTTTGCTTTTGAAGACTGACTCCTGAATTCTTGTTACTTTAACAAGTGATGTCCTACAAAGTATTTTCATGGTGGAAGCTGTATGGAGTTGATGTCAAAATTTTGGGTGATAGCTGTATTCAATAATATTTGTGATTCTGTTTTTAGACACAACGGCTTGTGATAGTTACTGAATTTGTCTAGACTGAATAAGTCTAGTAATGACAGCATGCTCTTTGCATAAATTCTAGGGTCCCCAACTTCTTTCTACTTGTTATATCTTGCAAATCTTGAAAAGATGTCTGAGTTAACTCATTGTTCTGGACAAGGTTTCATAGATTTATGGATGTGGCTTCTGTAGACAGCTTCTGTCATGCAATTTCCCTCTCTTGTTTTTCTCTCTGTTTTTCTACCAAAACCAGTGTAAAGCTTTACTTGAAGATACCGCATAAAAACTTCTTCTATTACTGGTTCTTGTGATAGGTAGCAATGTTCTTAGTGTTTCTGTTAATCCATCTGTTCACTTCTTAACACCTTTCATTGGTACCTTTTTGTAAATATTCAGAGCTGTATCAATAGAACTTCTGAAAGTAGTGAAACTTTTAAGTAGGACAGAAGACAAAGCACTTCAAGTTCTGCAAATGTTGTCTTCTGTAATTTGTTCTTTATTGACAGAGTCACCTCCAACTAAAGGATGGTTGGAAAATGTTTCAGAACACTACTGTTCATTGCTGGGTTTTGTTTGTAGGTTGTCTCTAGCAACCATCTGCCCAGGAGATACGGGCTATTGGGTGTTCCTGTATTTCTGTAATATACAACTCTGCTTTGAGCTCCAAGAAATGCTTAGAAATAACTTCTATCTTTTTTGAATGCAACTGCTTTTCCAAAGGCTTTTGGATCCCCTTCCTGTTGGTGTCCAAAGACAATGCATGTTTGTGTTCTGACATTAGGCAACCTCATTCAGATTATGATTAAAGATGATTGTTATCATACTTGCTGTCCTACCATGAGTGCTCAGTACGAGATCCTCACTACCAGATCCTCAGCAGGTTGTCATTATGTTGAGACTAGCTGACCTAACAGTGGACTGGAATCTCATTAGCACTCTTATGAGTTGCGTACGGTTATTGTCAATCACTCCAGCAAGATCTTTGTCTCTACTTAATCTGTTTGTATCTTGGTTTTCGTATTTGCTAATTTGTATGAATGACTTTAATATTACCTAGTTGTATGAATGTATGAATAATTGAGAGATGTGATACAAATATCTCAGTATCCTTAAGCACTACTGAAAGACAGTTCTTGGTTTGAAAATCTGTGATTTGAGAATAAAATATGTTTCCTCAAATGTGTTTTACAGTTTCATCCATTTGTTGATCTAAGAGATTTCTCTCAATTTGGACTGATAATTCTTTTTAACGTGGCATAAAGCAGCATAGCTAACTGATAAATGTACATCTTTCAGGTGATAAATTGGCAAATAGCATGAGACACTCAGTTAATCACATGCAAAGTTACAGAAGGCTACAGGCCTCTCAGAGGTTGGATGTAGCATTTAAGTTCTTTTTTTAGATTCCTGAACAAGTTCCTGCAAAGGAGCCGCTGGATCAATGTGAAATACTTAAAGTAAAGCTGTATTGCTTTTTATCACATTAGGTAGCTGAGGTATGTAGATAAGTCTTGTGAAAATGAGTAGCTGTAAAGGACAGCATTGAAAATGCCATTGCTGGATTTCTTTACATTTAACTGATACAGTTCAGGTCCCCTTTAAGAGGTTCGCATTGGCAATGCAATTCCATTAGCCAGAAAATTATTTCTGGGCTAGGTGTCACTTCGTGGAAGGTGGCTGTTATGTCTCTGTTATCCCTTGGCTACATCACCATGTTCTGAGGCCAGTTCTTCACATCATTCTCATGTGTCTGCCTGTTGGAACAGTTACCTTAGGAGGAGACAGAGCATTTTAAAGGTATGGAAGTTGCTTATTGTAGGAAACAACTGTTTGTGTTGAAAAGTTTGGATTGCAAGGGGTTAAATGTCTTCCCTAAAGATATTGTAGTTTCAGTTTCACTGTTTTACCTAAGTCTGTCATGTGTAAGACTGTTATATTCCTTCAGTTTGAAAAGTCAGCACCAGAAATGATTTTTTTATGGTAATAGACTGGAGGCCCACTGGAAGCAGACCAATGATGCTGTGCTTACAGTGTGTTATCTCTCCTTCACTTACCACTTCAAGCCTATCCATGTTATTGCAAGCTGTGGTGCTATACACACAATGTTGAACATTTGGTTGTTGAACACCTTTTCCAAGGCAGATGGTAAATCTAGAGGCAAAATCTATGTTTACTTCGTGTTAATTGTTCTAGTTGGCTTAGTAGCCAGGTAAGCCTTGCAGTGTGTGTTCAGATCAAATAGCAGCAAAATTTGCTTTGGTGCTTATGTGCTAATATGTGAAAGAGAAAAGAAACTGAGGCCTGTTTGAAGGAGTCTTAGCTGCTGAGGAGTTGTCTGTGATTTGTGGGCTTGTGTGTTTTTTAGTTTATAAAGAAAACCTGTGACTGAAGCATGTATAGAAATTGAACCTTCCTTCTTGATTCAGATGTAAGGGTTAACGAGATCACAGTTCATTCATACTTTCACATATCGTTCCTGTAAATTGCTCTGCTGAAAGCTTCTTGGGCATCTGGCATTCATTTGGCAGTTTCAAACTCTTACCTTTTAGCATTATATTAATCTTGCATCATAAACATCCACCAACAAATTGAGAGTTATTAGCTTTATTTATTTATCATGAAACATAGGCAGTGCTCCAGAGTGAGCCTCGAGTTTATAAAGAATGTATTTCTTTTGTTTGAACAAGACAGCTTTTTGGTTTGTGTATCATCTCATAGATATAATGACTGACATCCCACTGCAGGCAAAACAAGCTTGACTCAGGGAATTTTTCTTAATTTAACTTACTGCCAATTAACACAACTTTTGATTATTGGGGGGGGGGGGGGGGGGGCAATTAAACAAACACTTAGGGAAATGCCTTTCTTCCTCCTTCTCCAAGTTCATCTTCTGTCATCCACCTCTCTTCTCCCATTCCTAGTCCAAGCTTCCCTTGTTCTCCCCGTGTGCCACGCTCAGTCAATCCCAGTTCCTTTGGTAAGGCAACAGGTGGTATGAGATGTGAGGGCCATGTGCAGGGTTTCCCTCTGCTGCTGCTGCTCCTCCTCCGTGCTCTTTACTGGTTTTCTTCTGCTCTGGGGGGGTTGTCTGCAGGCCGCAGCCCCATGGGAGTAGGAGAACGGAGAGGGAAAACTCCCTGCCCTGACATGGATCTGCCACCATGGGCCCCAACACCTTTGGGGCCATCCCTGCTCTGCCATGGTGTACCTCCTTTCAGTGTGTCTCTGGTGTTCCTAGCACTGATGTCTCCTCTGTTGCTTCTCATTTGTCTTCCATCAGTTTGAGAGCCATCTGGCACTGTCTATGACTGGGTCAGGGCAATTCACTGCCTCCTCCCGCACTGGTCACCCCTACAGCTCTCTGACACCAAAACCCTGCAGTGTACACTCAGTACGCATTCAAGTGTGGCTTAGCAAACAACTTAAATGGCTCTTAGTGAACAGCTATGGTTGTTTTCCTGGAATATTCAAAATTTGGCTTATTGATATAATCTTCTCTACTTTTTAGGTTTTAGGTGGCTTTTTTCTCTTTTGTATGCATATAACTGTTCATCTTTCTAACGTTTTGACTTTTCCGTTTGCATATAGTGATCATATGTAACCAATAGTTTAGGAATCCTTGTCTTTTCACATATCTACCTCTCTTTTTAGAGAACATTAATTTTTTTTTTCTCCTAGATTGTGGATTAATTTGTAGCTTGTCTCTGTTTTTTCCCAAAAATCTTTTCTTTTGTCTCCAAAAAAATAAAAGCTTTCTGCTTAGCTGTTTTAACACAATAACCTCCAAACATGCTTTCATTGTGAAGGTGCAGAGGCATTTCTGAGTATAGTGATTCTATTGTACTCTTCAAGATTTTAATGACATCAAAAGCTAGATCATGATTGTGTATCTGGACAATTTTCAGAAGAAGCAACAGACTTATAATCTGAAAGTACTGCTAGGTTGTCACGTGAACCTTCTGAAGTCAAGAATTGGGTGCATCTTCAGTGCTTATTTGAAAAAGGGCACAATACTAGGCTGAAAGGGGCTCAGCAGTGAAACCCCAACTTTATGTCAAGTCAACAAAAGATACCATGATGTCTCTTATATGCGAGAATTGTAGTGAGAAATGAAACATTTCACCAAATGTTGTTTATCAGAATCAAATGAAACCTCATCAACTGTTCAAGTAAATTACCTAGTAGGTTCACTTTTATTCAGGGATGACCAACTCATCTTCCTGAAGACCACATCCACATCATGGGACAACTGTGCAGCCACCTCACTGCTACCTGGCATAATGGGAAGTGGCAGGGAGTGGGATAACTGAGAGTGTGCAACAGAGGGAAGGAGGAGGTAAAACAAATTGGTCTTGTATACAAGTGAAGCTTTCAAACTGAGACGTTTTCTAAGTTGGCCAAAGTTTATAGAGGATGCAGCCTCTTAAATTCTGGCACAGACAAGAAAAATGGCTTATCTGCAGTTAGGACTGCTAGACTTGGTCCATGAACCTGCCTAGTAGCTTATCTTGAAATGACAGCCATTTGGAGCGAAGTGGAAAGGACCTGCTGCCAGTAGATACAGTAATGCTGGGCTCACCAGGAAATGCAGGTGTAGCTCTGCCTGTGAGGTTGTTGCAGTTGGCTTAGTTGAAGCTCACCCAGGGAGCGGAGGAGAGGACCAGAAGGAGGAGGCTGCGCCTGCTCAGTTAGCAGGCTGCTGTCTTGTGCATGCACTACCTCATCCTAACTTCTTGCTGCCTTGAAGTAAATGCTGCACTCTTCACAAGGTTTTGAGAGCAGGAGAGCTTGTGGGAAGTACAGAAAACAGGGAAGCTGTAATTATACCTGGAGGGAAAAGATGCTTATCTGTGCTTTCAAATGTAAAACGCTCCGGTTCAGTTATTCTATATTAACCAGTAACCTCAAATGGCACAATGGTTAGTTATACAGTATCCATGTTTTTTATTGCTTATTTTTCTTGCTCTGAGCAATTTCTTTTTTTTCCTGCACAGGTTTGCCATGTTGAAATTTGTGTGACATGAGAGGTTAAGTTGAAGTGATCTGAACATAGAGAGTTAAAAAGTAATAATTACTCCAGACTCTTTAAGTCTGAACATCAGTCTCTTTATGTCATCTCCATTTATTTTGCTTGCACCAAGTGCTATGAAAAGTTTGACAATTTTGCTAATTTTGCTGATGGATACTAACTGTATCTTTAACAGAGTCACAACCAGGGAGAAGGTAACTGAAAGATGGAAAGCAGACTTCTAATGAAGCCTTAAGCAGTGTTCTAAAAATATTTTTGTGAGTCTGAGTACCAGGGATGGAAAGAAAGAGGTACGGGAAATGATGAGGACAAGCTGCTACAGGGAATGCAAGAGCTTCAGGGAAGAATCTGGCTAAAAGTGTAGAAAACACCTGTCGGAGTCATGACTGCAGGACTGAAAGGGTTGATGGAATTAAACAAGACCAGAGTTGACATTTACTTGAGTTTCAAAGACCTGGAAAGTCAGGAGAAAATACAGATATTTCATTTATTATTTTGAGAAAGAGATTAGTGTTGGACGTCAGGGTGCAAAAATTAGGGCAGATGTAGAGACATATAAATGTATGTAGAAAGCAGGATAAAAAGTCCAAAGCTACAGAAACATATTTAAAAGTTGGAGGCAGCAAAGTGGCAAAAATTATTTAGGTTCAGAAGAATATACTTCAGTGTTTTAATGGTAAAGAATTTTCTAAAAGAAATCTTAATTATTTTTTTAAAATGTATGGTATAATTGAAGAACAAAGACTTTAATGTGTATCCAACATTAAGAAATACTTGGGTGGTTTAATGTCTCAGAAGAGTGCAATTAAATATGGGACACCCTCTAGATCATGACTATTGCTGTTGTAGTTGCACAGTCTGAAGTAGAGCTGTTCAGTTTCTTAGCCCTCAAGGTGATTACCTGTAAGACAGTTCCTCCTCCTTAAAATTCCTGTTGCTCATTAGAACATATTTTAAGCAGGTAAAAAAACAAGCTACTCTAGTACAGACAGTTTTGGCGAAGTTGAGAAAGCAAATGAAATTCTGGAATTAAACTGTGTTCTGAGTTAATACAGGAAAAATATTTGGTCACCTCTCAGTAGTTTGTGGCAAAGTGAGTGGAAAGACTGCTTTTTTTTTTTTTTTTCATTTATCTGAATACTTTATGGTGTACTTAGTTATCATAACTGATTAACCTCCAATTTTTGTAGGCATTTGGCATAGCTACTGATGAAAACTTTGTTATCACCACAACAAACAGGAAAGAAATTACAGAAGACAACTTCAGTAAGTATCTTAGATGGCAAAATAAATACAGCTATTTTTTATATTGATTGTAAAGACCACATGATGATTGTTTATACTCTGACATGCAATAATTAACTGGAAATACAAATCCTGTAATAGTTTGCCAAGAATTGTTACAAAATTGACTTTCACAAACAAGTTTTTAACAACTACTTGTTAGTATGATGGACAGTTTTACAACGTAATTTTTTTACCTTCCATCACAAATTCTGTTAATGATAAGAAAAAATGGCATGTAAATAGCTATCACCTGAGAAAACTTGCATTATTAAGCTTGGAAGTACGAAAAGATTTTAAATTAAGTGTTGTTCCTAGGATGCAGAGCAGTCAATGCCTAAGAAAATACAGGTGTTACCTGAGGCTAAACCTGTACTGGTTTTGAGAGCAGAAATTGCCTGGTGCAGTGCTCTTCAATATACTTTATATTTCATCTTCACTGCAGGCGAACTTGTTCAAGATGGAGTGACTTTGTATCTGCTACAGTCAGTTGATCAAATGCTGCTTTCGGCAACAAAGGAGCGAATTGACTTCCTGCCCCACTACGATACGCTTGTCAAAAGTGGCATGTACGAGTACTATGCCAGCGAAGGGCAAAATCCTTTGCGTAAGTACTTGCCAAAATAATCTTGTGTAAATGATGTTTATATGAATATAATGTGGTTATGAGCAGTTTAACTTTTAGTTACAATTGGTGAAAAAATACAGTCTTAACTGTAAAAGAAGAATTAATGATGTTCTTCATACAAATTTTTCATTTAAAAATGACTCAAAATGGCCGTGTAAGAATCCAGATTTACAGAGTTACCTCCTCAAATACTTCTTTAAGAAGTTTGAATATTTTAGAAGTAAAATGAGTTTAGTCTTGATAATAAACTTGGGGATGTCATTCAGACAGGTCAGCATTTGTGTTATCAGGTTTTTGTCTCCTGTACTCACAATAGACTTTGTGTTTGAAACTGGTGAACAGTTTTGTATGAGCTACTGTCTGCTCTCCCATCTGTGCTTCTACAGGGCTTAACTTACCAACAGGAGCAAGTATTTCTTTAAAAAGGTGCTGCTTTAGTTTTTATCTAACCAGTATATTAAATATGTAACCAGTATTTCCTGTTGTTTTATTGAAAAAAATAAATTTCTGTTTACAGCTTCTCTGAAAATTGTCTGTGGCTGTAATTACTTTATATGTACATTGTAGGTACAGCAGGCTCACAATTGTACAGAAAAAAATGCAAACATCAAGACTCAAGCATTATACCATTCCCCCAGCGATTTCTGTTTCATAACAATCTCAACAATGTCTATAAATAGCAACTGTATTTTTAAGTACCAGTCTCCTTTTGCCCCCTCCCTCTTTCTGCACTTATTTTTTTCCCTGCCCTGCCAAAGACACTGTTTTGGTTCAGGTTTGGAGAAACTGTGCTCAAAGTGCACTAAGAGTGTGGTCAGCTATATGGGTATCTCTGTGCACAGGAATTGCTGTATTAGACCACACAAAGCATTCTGTCTAGGTCTATGCTTTGTTCCCACCAGCAGCGAGTGTTAGATACCTGAGAAATACTAGGAAAACAGAAAGGCCATGCAAAGATGCAACAAAAGTGATTTGTGGACTTTTGAGTTCATGTCTGTGGACTGCTCTTTTCCATGAACTTGTCCAGTTACTTTATGAACCATCATAACATCTTTAGTATTCACAATGTTTTGTGGTATTGAGTCCCCAGCTTAATTGCATGTGATGTGAAGTGTCCTGCCTTTTTGTACATGTTGAGCTAGTTACCGTTTTTTTCACCTGTTGACCATACTTTGAATGCTGGGAGATATCATAAAGCATTGCCGGCAGATTGGCTGACTTGGTGAATCATGCTTTAAACTAACAAACTTGGGGGCTGGGGTGCAAAGCCATGACAACAGCGTACTCACAAGGACCGGGGTGGATGAGCACACCTACTGGAGTAGTAAGGAATGACACCAATCCTCCAAAAAGGTTCCACCAAAAAGGTGAGACAGTCAGCAGTCCAGCTAAAGTGTCTCTATACCAATGCACGCAGCATGGATAACAAACAGGAGGAGCTGGAAGCCACTGTACAGCTGGAAAGCTATGATCTGATTGCTGTCACTGAAACTTGATGGGATGACTCACATGATTGGAGTGCTGCAGTTGATGGCTATAAACTGTTCAGGAGGGACAGGCAAGAAAGGAAGGGTGGAGGGGTTGCCCTCGCTATAAAAAACCAAAATGGATTGACTGCACAGAGCTGTGTTTTTTAAAAACAGCAGTGTACAAGTCAAGAGCTTATCCCTGAAAATTAGAGACCAAGCCACCAAAGGAAACATTGTGGTTTGTGTTTACTACAGGCCACCTGTTCAAAGGGGAGGATGTCGATGAAGCATTCTTACTTCAACTACAGGAAGCATCATGCTTGCAGGCCCTGATCGCGTTAGGGGACTTCAGTCACCCTGACATCCCCTGGAAAAGCAGCACAGCAAGCTACAAGCAGTCAAGGAGACTCTTGAGGATAACTTCCTAATCTAGGTGATAGAAAGCCTAACCAGAGGAGATACATTAGTGGACCTGTTGCTCACTAATGCAGAGGAACTTATTGGAAAGGTCAAGACTGGTAGTTGCCTGGGCTGTAGTGATCATGCCCTGGTGGAATTCATGATCTTGAGGGATATAGGCTAGGTGAAAAGCATAGTCGGGACTCTAAACCTTAGGAAAGCGAACTTTCAGTTGTTTAAGGGAGTGGTGGATGGGACACCCTGGGAAACAGCCCTCAGGGATAAAGGAATAGAAGACAGCTGGCAGCTATTTAAAGACTTTTTTTCTTAAGAGCACAAGAACTATTGATTCCCATATGCAAGATGTCAGGCAAGGAAGGCAGGAGACTAGCGTGACTGAGTCAGGATCTTCTGGTCAAACTAAAACACAAGAGGGAAATGCATAAGCAGTGGAAGCAGGGGCATGCATCCTGGGAATAATATAGGGATGTTGCCTGGGAATGTAGGGGTGGGATCAGCAAAGCTAAGGCACAGCTGGAGCTGAATTTGGTAAAGGATGTGAAGAATAATAATCAGGGTTTCTACGGGTACGTTAGGAAAGGAAGAGAAAAGAAATTGTTCCCCCCCAATAAATAAAAGGAGGGGATCTAATGACAACTGACATGGAGAAGACTGAAGTACTAAACAATTTTTTTGCCTGTTTTCAGTGGCAATTGTTCTTCCCACATCTCTTACGTCTGAATCTAAAGGCAGGGACTGGGGGAATGAAGTCCCACTCATTGTAGGAGAAGATCGGGTTCAAGACCATCTGAGGAACCTGAATGTACAAGTCCATGGGACCCAATGAGGTGCATCCCAGGGTCTGGAGGGAACTGGCAGATGTAGTCACTAAGTCTCCAGTGGCTGGAAAAAGGCAAACATCACACTCACTTTTAAAAAGGAGAACTCTGGGAACTATGGACCACTCAGCCTCACCACAGTGCTCAGTAAGGTCATGCAACATCCTCCTGGAAGCTATATCAAAGCATATGGATGACAGGGAGGTGATTAGAGACAGCCAACATGGCTTCACCAGGGGCAGATCGTGCCTGACTAATCCATTGGCCTTCTACAATGGAGTGACTGCGTTGGTGGATAAGGGAAGAGCAACTGATGTTATCTACCTTCTTTCTGTAAGGCCTTTGATATGGTCCCACACAACATCCTTGTAGCTAAATTGGAGAGATACGGGTTTGATGGATGAACTGTTTGATGGGTAAGAATTGGCTGGATGGCCACATCCAAAGACTTGCAGTCAAAGGCTCAATGTCCAAATGGAGATCAGTAACAAGTGGTGTCCCTTAGGGGTCTGTATTGGAACCAGTACTTTTCAGTATTTTTATTAATGACATAGTGGGATTAAGAGCACCCACAGCAAGTTTGCAGATGACACCAAGCTGAGTGGTGTGGTTGATACTCACTTGAAGGAAGGGATGCCATCCAGAGGGACCTTCACAGGCTTGAGAAGCGGGCCAGTGTGAACCTCATAAGACTCAACAAGGCCAAGTGCAAGGTCATGCACCTGGGTCAGAGCAATCCCCAATATCAATACAGACTGGGGGCTGAATGGGTTGAGAGTAGTCCTGCAGAGAAGGACGTGGCGGTACTGGTCAATCAAAAATTAGACATGAGCTGACAACGTGCGCTTGCAGCCCAGAAACCCAATTGTATCCTGGGCCGTGTAAGAAGTAGTGTGGCCAGCAAGTTGAGGGAGGTGATTCTCCCACTCTACTCTGTTCTTGTGAGACCCCAGCTGGAGTACTGCCTCCAGCTCTGGGGCCCCAGCACAAGACAGATATGGACCTGTTAGAGCAAGTCCAGAAGAGGGCCATGAAAATGATCAGAGGGCTGGAACACCTGTCATATGAAGAAAGGCTGAGAGAGTTGGGGTTTTTCAGCCTGGAGAAGGCAAGGCTCCGGGGAGGCTGCAGCCTTTCAGTATCTAAAGGGGCTTATAAGAAAGATGGAGAGAGACATTTTACCAGGGCCTGTAGTAACAGGACATGGGGTAACAGTTTTAAACTGAAAGAGGGTAGATTTAGATTGGACATAAGGAAGAAATTCTTTACTATAAGGGTGGTGAGAACTGGAACAGGTTGCCCAGAGAAGTTGTGGATGCCCCATCATTGGAAGTGTTCAAGGTCAGGTTGGATGGGACTTTGAGCAGCCTGATCTGGTTGAAGACATCCCTGCCCATGGCAGGGGGCTTGGAACTACATGATCTTTGAACGTGCCTTCTGACCTAAACCATTCTAGGATTCTGTCATCTCTTGTTCACATTTTCTATACCAGTCATGGATCTCAGGAGTCCATTTTTCCAGGCATGTACATTCTGTTCTACTTAATTAAAGCTTTTGTGTTTACTTTTTGAACAAAATGAATAAAACTGAGGTACAGCAGTGCAAACTAGCCAAAGCATTCCGTATCTATGCATAGTTTCTTAAATTGAGCTTGATGCTTCTGCTTCTGTAGTTCAGCTCAAGACTTTTGTAAAGGAAGGCTAATTACTGTTTTACTTCCTTGTGACACTGAATTGATGGGTGAACCTGACACTGTTGAAAATGAATGACACTGTATGGTAATCATTACCTGCAGTAACCATCCAGGGACTTTTCAGGGAAATGTTGGGTGATCTTGGGCATGTGGAACTATTACATGGCATCCTAGAATAATTTAGGTCAGAAGGGATCTCTGGAGGTCATGTCATCTAACCCCTGCTCAAAGCAAAGTCAATTAGATTAGGTGACTGGGCAAGACCAGTTGACTTTTGAGTATCTTCAAAGAGTAGAAATTCCCCAACCTGTGGTGGCAGCCTGTTCCAGTATTTGATTATAAAATAAATACATCTTTGTCTAATTAATTTTCCATGTTCCAACTTTCATCCGTTGCTTCCTGTTCTACCACTGTACACCTGAGAAGAGTCTGGCTTCATCTTTGCACCCTCCTAGCAATAAGACAGCAATAAGGTTTCCCTTAGCCTTCTCTTAAGTCTGAACAATCCCAGTCCTCTCAGCAGCCTCTCCTTGCATGTCTGGTGCTCAAGCCCTCTGATTATCTGGAGGAGTCCTCTAG